ATCTCTTACCCCTTTTCCGCCTCCAACATCTCCTTTTGTTTTTGTTTTTCCATTGTTCAGAGAAAGCTGCTTCTTTCTGGATGAAAATCTCTTCTGCATTTGTAAAGATGGGGGGAGAGGGAGTCACAGAAAGCTGCCCTTTAAAACATTATTGCTTGATGCTTAACAGTTGATCTCGAGTATGAAATCCAAAATGAACCACAGGGAATCATAAAAAACAACAGAACTATCAAAGATCATTTCACCAAGGCTGCAGTTCGCAGCGCCATCTTGAATTATGTTAGAATAATTCCGTTATTATAATTCTGTTATATTTCATTTTCTAGATTATTTTACCTCTTCTCTTATATTTCTAATTTCTAGGTCGATATTAAACTTGGGGAAAAGAAAAAAATCACTAATAATAATAATAAATAAATAAAATAATAAATAAAATAATAATAAAATATATATTTATATATATTATATATTTATAATATATAAAAATAATAAAATAATAATAAAAGGGGCAACACCTGCAAATTACAGGCCAATAATGTGTCCGCCAACCATGTTCAAGCTGCTGACCGGCATCATAGATGACAGGATCCAGACTATCTAGAAGCAAATAACATCTTGCCAGTAGAGCAGAAAGGAAACAAACGAGGAAGCAGAGGCACAAAAGATCAGCTCCTGATCGACAAAATTATTCTAGAGAACTACAAAAGCCGAAAAACAAATCTGCATACAACTTGGATTGACTACAAGAAAGCATTTGATTCACTACCGCACAGCTGGATCATCAAGTGCCTGGATGTCATCGGAATATGCAAGTGATTGTTTTATGTTTGTGCTTGTTAGTGTTTGTCTTAAAAATAAAATAAAAAACTTTATTAAAAAAAGGAATATGCAAGTGCATTGGTACCTTCACTGCAAATGTGATGAAGCACTGGAAAACAGAACTGTTTATTGGAAGTGAAAGCTACAGACTGGTCAACATCAAAAGAGGGATTTTCCAGGGTGATTCTTTGTCACCTCTGCTGTTCATCATTGCCATGAACCCTCTGTCAACAATTTTACAGAAAACTAACGTGGGTTATCAAACTGCTAAAAATTCACAGAACATCTCTCACCTGCTGTACATGGATGATCTGAAGTTATACGGAAAATCAGAAATTGAAATCCAGTCACTGACCAGTACAGTTCAAATTTTCAGCACTGACATCAACATGGAGTTCGGCCTGGACAAATGCGCCACAGTGAGATAGAAGAAAGGGAAGATTGTAGAAAGTGATGGAATCGAAATGCCCAATGGACAAACCATCAAGTGCCACCAACCCGAAGCCTACAAATACCTGGGCATACTGCAGCTGGACAATATCAAGCACGGGCAAGTGAAAAATGTGGTCAGCAAAGAATACACACAAAGGGTCAGAAAACTTCTAAAAAGCAAAGTGAGTGGCAGTAACACCATCAAAGCTATAAATACCTGGGCCATACCCGTCATCAGATATACTGCTGGGATTGTAAACTGAACACAGGCAGAGCTGGACAACCTGGATAGAAAAACAAGAAAACTGATGACCATACATTATGCGCTGCACCCGCGTAGTGACGTTGACAGGCTATATTTGCCCAGAAAAGCAGGCAGCAGAGGACTTTTGCAAGTGAAGCAGACAGTCGAAGAAGAGAAGCATGCTCTGGCAGATTATGTGAAAGACAGTGTCAACAAGAGGTCAACAAGAGGAAGCTGCTCAAAGGGCAACAAACCAAGAATCAATATAGGAAAACAGCGATGCAAACTCGGGCTGACAGCTGGTGTAACAAAGCACTGCATGGACAGTTCCTTGAAAAGATCCAAGGAAAAGTAGATAAGGAAAAGATCTAGTTATGGCTGACCAACAGAACACTGAAGAAAGAAACAGAAGGCCTGATTCTTGCAGCCCAAGAACAAGCCATCAGAACGAATGTAATCAAAGCCAGAATAGAAAAATCTGCTGATGACCCCAAATGTAGACTCTGCAAAGAAGTGGACAAAACCATCAATCACATACTGAGCTGTTGCAAGACAATTGCTCAGACTGACTACAAACAACATCACAACACAGTCACTCAGATGGTCCACTGGAACGTGTGTCACAACTACCATCTGCCTGTAGCAAAGAACTGGTGGGATCAAAAGCCTGAAAAAGTGGTTGAAAACGAGCATGCAAAACTACTATGTGACTTCCGAATACAGACTGACAAAGTTTTGGAACACAATACCCTGGATATCATGATTGTGGAGAAGAAAAAAGCGTGGATCGTCGACATTGCCATATCTGGTGATAGCAGAATCGACAAGAAACAACTTGACTTTTTCAACTTGAGAATCGAACTGCAGAGACTCTGGCATAAACCAGTGCAGGTGGTTCCAGTGGTACTCGGCACACTGGGTGCTGTGCCTAAAGACCTAAGCAAGCACTTAAAAACAATTGGCGTTGACAAGATCACCATTGGTCAGCTGCAGAAGGCCACCTTACTGGGATCTGCTCGCATAATCCGCCGATACATCACACAGTCCTAAACACTTGGGAAGTGTTCTTCTAATGATTTGTGATACGAAACCCAGCATAGTTATCTCGTTTGCTGTGTATACTGTCATTTTTGTGTATAATTATAATAATAACAACAACAGCAACAACAATAATAAAAACTGTCAGAGAGCATTTCACCGAGGCTGCCGTTGGCAGCGCCATCTTGACATATGGCATCAATAGCTAACAAGGGCCTGATGGCTTGAACATTATGGAGAGTTTTTCCCCCAAGCTTAAAAATTGATCATGTAAACAATTTGCTCCTGAGTATTCTTTTATGAATGCAGGTCACATCCTAGTTGAAATGTTTCCTACCATCTATCAGTTAGTGCATGAGTGTCAAACTCAATTGCATCACGTGACGTATCATGACTTATCACAACATTTTTTGCCTTTGCGGAGCCGAGGTGGGCATGGCCTGCATGTGACACATCCAGCCTGTGGGCCACCAATTTGACATCCCTGAGTTAGTGGCACTAGGTTCCCAGATGCACCCCAAATATTGCAAGCTGCTGTTCACCTGGAGTTCTGTGGCTTTATGCTGAAGTTCATTTGCCCTGAGCCAGGAGAAAGTGAGTTTTCTTGACCGCTGCAGTAGGGCCATTCTGTCTGTTTCCTGATCAAGAGATATAATTTCTCGGTCTCTATTGTGAAAACTCAATGAGCTATTTTCCTTGATCTGGTGTCATCCTTCTGCAGGCCTGGCCTTCTAATGCCTTGCTCGCCAGTGGAACTGATGCTAATGGTTCACCCCTATTCCCAAAAAGTAGCAAGGATTTTGAACCAACATTTGTTTGTGTTTGTCATAGTCTCCAGCAAATCATCATGCTCAATGTCATGGACACCGTTTCCCTTGCCAGTTCATTCAAGCCTTCAAATATCTAGTATCTACTGGAATATCCACGAATGACTAGTCTAGTGCAAGGAGGCAATAGCCATAATTGAATTCACTGTTTCTGTTCTCACTGCCAAAGTCATTGCTTCTTAAAAGCATCCTAGAGACCACTCTGGTTTACAACTCATCTGTCTGTAAGGGAATCCCTCCCATCTTTTTGGCACCATTGAACTGAAAAGTTGGAGAAAAATAGCATTCTTTGCTTGGAGAATACTTATTTAAAAAATACCTGAGGTTCCCTGACTCTCAGCAACGATGTATCAGAAATACCTGTTCATCTTGAAAATCCCTGTAGTTTTAAAGAGCCAAAAGTTGGAACTCAAGTTTGAACAGCTTGTACAGAAAGATGCTTTCCCTATTATACAATATCCTTAAATCTGCTTTTATTAAAGTGATATATTTTTAAGATAATGAAATAATGCTATAAAGCAACAAATATTTTTGTAATTAGCATAACTATCTCACTTATTGTAAAAGAAACCTTTTTATTGTTCTAATTACAGGGGTCTCCAAACTTGGCAACTTTAAGACTTGTGGACTTCAATTCATGAAGCATGGCTGAGGAATTCTGGGAGCTGAAGTCCACAGGTCTTAAAAGTTGCCAAGTTTGGAGACCCTGTTCTAATAAAATCAATATTTTATTGATTGTTTTACCATTCAGCAGTTTTATTTTTGACAAACTGAATAGCCAAGAAAAAGATTTTAAAATGTATGCAAGGAAAACATCATAATAGTATTGGGGGGGAGGAAGAGGAGGACACATATCTATCCTATTACTCGCAATCTTTAATTTTTTAAGCTCTTCAATGTTAAAACCACTTCAGGTACAGGTAGTCCTCGACTTACAACAGTTCATTTAGTGGCTGTTCAATGTTACAACAGCACTGAAAAAAGTAACATGATCATTTTTCAGTTTCAAACTTTGTAACATCCCCATGATCATGTGATCAAAATTCAAATGCTTGGCAATTGGTTTATACTTATGACTACTGCTGTGTCTCAAAATCGTGTGACCACTTTTTGTTATCTTCTGACAAGCAAAGTCAATGGGAAAGGCAAATTCACTTAATAACCAGGTTACAAACTTAACAATTGCAGTGATTCACTTAACAACTATGGCAAGAAAAGTTGTAAAATGGGACAAAACTCACTTAACAAATATATCACTTAACAACAGAAATGACTCAGTTGTAGTCATAAGTCAAGGACTACCAGTAACATGCTAACCATATAATTAAGCTTTTTACAGGAAAAGTGTTATTATTTATAACAAGGGTAGGAAAAAGACACAATTTGTTGATCAGTCATGGTTTAAATATAGGGATTCTAAACAATAAAAAGCCTTTTTTGTATTAAAACTAAAATAAGTACATTGGTAAAACTTCCCAAATTTTATGGGTAATGTCATACTATTAATCCCTGAAGCAAGTTATTTCCATGAAGTGATATCCTCCATCAAATTAAGCAGTGTGATTGCTGTCATCAGCATACTGCTGATCTGCATTTTAGGTAAGTCAAGATTCCAGTTAAATAATAATTTAACTACTTACTTTTATTGCCTACAAGGGCCACACGGGGTTGAGTTTCTGACTCTTCATTGACCTTCTTTACAACATTATGCCAATTTTCTAAGTTTTCAAAGCTCTGTTGATTCGTAACATCATAAACCAAAAGGACAGCCTAAAAAAAAAAAGGCTTATGTGAAAAGCAATATTAATGATAAAAAAATCAGACAACTAAATTGCATAAACTTAAGATAAGGGCTGATGCATAAAGACTCTTAATACATACATTCTGCACAAGGGGAAAGATGACTTTCAAGTTCACGTATACCATAAAGATACAAACAGGTCAAAATCAGTATATTCTATATAAAATCTAGTGATTCAAAAATTATAGTTTAAAAAAGGTTTTTGCATTCTTAATGTTGATAAAACAGAGCTGCAGTAAAATATATTTTTTATTTTTGCTTATATGCTTCAACTGTATCATACTGAGAATTGTATCTATCTATTATATTACTACACCACCATAATCAAGCAATTTTTATTTTTATTTACTGAAATTTTTTGCTGCCCATCTTGCCAACAAGGCGACTGTCAGTCCGGGATCCACCTTGAATCAGATTTGGGGTTGCCACAAGGGAGGATGGATAACTGTGGGAATGAGAGTGAAGTGAGAAGGGAGGATAGCCACAACAACATGCTTTCACCAGAGGTCAAGGTCAAGTCGCTGGAGTTAGGAGGGGAGTTCAGAATGGAGGTGATTGGAGAGTGTGACTTGAGGGTCATCAGTATGTGAGTTTAATATAGCAGGGGAATGTGGGAATTCAGATTCAGGTTTTCCCCAAATGTGCCAATATAACTTCTCTAATAAATTCTTACTTGGATGGACTTTGTAGTGCTGAATTGGGATGGAAAGTTTGGCTGGAATGCTGACATTAACCCAAATCCCCTAAAAAGAAAATCACAGCAGCTTTCGCAAACGCAGTACCTGGGGTCCTGAGCCCCAAGACACTCTCCAAAAGTACTGGAAGCATAAACTCAGGGAAGATGGAGCAAGAATCCAAGGCTGGTAAAGGGGCCACCAAACCCATGCAGGGGGAAGTCTGAAAAACCTGCTGTTACCCTTCAGAGGCAGAAGTGGCGGCAGCCAAGGCTGCGCAGGCTGAAATCTGGAGCAGCGCGAGACCCAAGGTACTGACCCTTTGGCAGAACCCGCCAACAGAACCAGCAATTGGTGTTCCTCCACCTCTGGGAGCACAGTGACAACTGGGAGCTGGAGCTGCCTATGAGTGGAGACCACCGTGATCCCTAGAGGCTGGCAAGTTTCAAAAGTGGAGATTTCAACCAGCGTCTCAGAATCAGTCGCTAGCCAGGTTACCCGAAAAATCTGAACTGCTAAATGTGCGTCCCATGGTCCAGATCTGCCCACACATGGTCCAGCCAGGATGGGTGTTGCGACAGCCTGTCTTCCACTATCCGGGACCTGGAGCAATGGCAGGCCAGAGCAGAGCATCTGCTTCATTTCGTTTGGTAGCGGCCGGTCCAAGGCCCAGGTCCCGGCAACAAAGTCTTTCCACTGCAGCTGCAGCCCAGTCACCCACCACGGCAGGATGACTCCAAGCGTCACCTGACTGATCAAGCCCTGGGAACAGAGGCAGGCAGGGAGATGCACCCAGGCCAATCCCACAAGCTGCACCAGAGATGCCGCCTGCAGACCAAGTTCCTCCCGGGTGGGCTTTTTATTCCTGACATGGGTGGATCCAGTACCAGTGGACACCAGCTCCAGCTCTGATGCCAATTCCTCCAGCCACAACTGTACCCCCTCCAGCCGCTACCTCACTACAATTCCCGGTCACCTTTGACGGCACCCCAGGCAAACTGTCCTACTCCCTCAACAGGATTTGGCATCACATTGATCATTATGCTGCGTAATACCAATCAGACTGGTACATGATTAAAAATTCAGATATCTTTTTTCTATGTCCATCATGTTCTCCTAAGCTAAGCAAACTGAGTACCCTACCTGACAGAGTTGAAAGCATAGAATCACTCATTCACTCAATAGAAGAACGCTTAGCAACACATTTTGAAACAACTATACAAGCAAGCCTAATTTCTCTTGGAAAAAAAAATACAGCACAGATAAGTGAGTACCTATCAGCTCAAAATCAACAACCACAACTACTACCTCAACTACAATCACAACTACAACCAAAAATAACCACCAAACCACAGCCACAAACAATTACTATCCCTTCAAATAATTCCACAAATAATATCTCCTTACTCATCAGAGAAACCATGGAACGTGAACAGAAACATCCAAATGCCATCATATTTGGTCTCGAAGACACCAACGAATCAGATGACATCACCAAAGTTCGTGATATCATAAGCAATTCTAATACAACAAACATCTCTCCTGAAGATATCATTGAAATAACCAGAGATGGCCATGGGTACAAATACAATGATGGCTCTGTGGCCCCAAGATTTTGTAGAGTTGTATGCAAAAATGAGTCCAGCAAACGCATATTCATTCATACAATAAACGCCATTGCAAAAACCAATCCCAACCACAAAAAACTTCGCTCAAGACCAGACTTATCCATACTGCAAAGAATCCGCTCCCGTGAACTCCGCGCAGAACTCAAAAACCGTCTAGACAATGGAGAAAAGAACCTATACACTGACTACAGAGCTGATTGCATCAAAAGAAAATCACACAACCCACAACTCCGCATCCAACCCCACCCCATCCAATCCAACATCACTGAAAACTAGGCATGCACACCCCTAACTACCTCTATTCCAACCACAACTAGCCTTAAATGCAAGATACTCAATGCAAGCAGCCTTGTAAATAAAATACCGTATATGCCGGCGTATAAGACGACCCGGCGTATAAGACGACCCCCCAACATTTCCACTCAAAATATAGTTTGTTATATACTCGCCCCCTCTTCCGCACGCCTTCCACTTTTGCACTTTTTTGTTTTTTTGAGGCACTTTTGTGCACCGTGGAAACGAATCCCGTGAAGCCGAAAGGAACAGCCAGCCTTCTCC